GCAACATCCTTTGTCACTAGGGAAATAAAAATTAAAACAAAACATATTTCCACCTTAGCTGCTCAGAATTGCTATCATTAACCAAACATCATTCATAATAGGATGTGGAGAAAATGGAACCCTTATATACTACTGCTGGTAGGAATATAAATGGAGTCACTATGGACATGAACATGGAGTCATCTCACATAGGAGCCAGCCACTCTATCCCTGGTGATATACTCAAATGACTCTAAATCAACATATAACACAGTAATGTGCATACCCATATTTACCTCAGCAGTATACACAATCATCAAGTTACGGAATCAGGTTAGGTATCCACTAACAGATGACAAAAACTATTTTTCACACACACAAAATGGAGTTTATTTAGCCACAGAGGAGAATGAAATTGTGCATCCGGGCAGTGGGACAGTGGTGTACACCTTTAATCACAGCACTGAGGAGGCAGATGCAGGCAGATATCTGTGAATTTGAGGCTAGCCTGATCTACACAGTGAGTTCCAGGACAGCTAAGGCTACATAGAGAAACCCTGTCTCACAAAACAACAACAAAATGTATGGGATTGAAGAGCATAATAGTAAGTGAAATAAGTCAGACTCAGTGTAAGCCTATTTTCCCTCATTTGTAGATCCTAGCTCTTATACAGACACACAATTAAAATCTGCACATAGGGCATTAAAGTAGAAGCTAGACTATCTGAGGGTAATGAACAGGAGTTGGAGGGGGAAATAAAAGGAACGAGGTGGCATGAATACTGTCAAAATACATGATACACATCTTTGAAAATGTCTGTGGAACCCATCCTTATGAATGATGAATGTATATTGATAAATATGTTTCACTATGTCTGAAATGTTTGTGCAACCACTGGTATTTTGTGTCAAGCAACTAACTTCCTTCCAGAGATCTGGAATTCTGGCATATTCTAGGTAAAATGTCCCAATGTAACTGATTACTAATAAGACCTCCAGAATGCTGTTTCCAGAGCTTCTCTGCTAGGCAATGTTTCATGTGTGTTATGACTACCTAAAGACATTCAGTTTCTCCCAATGAGACTCCACTGAGAAAGGACTCTTGGAACTCTGAACCTGAATCTCACAGACTACCCTGTAGACCAGGTTTCTTTGCTGAGTCTGCTTTGAATCCTTTTACTAGATCCCTAGGGAAACTACCTGCAGTGCCCTGTGACTCCTGCTAGTAAATACGAAAACACTATATGCATTAATTATGTGCAATGTTTAGATAAACATCTTAGAAAGTATAGACACTAAAATCAACCGAAAGAAGAAATATTATTTTACATACCAGCTTCTCAAGAAGAATGAAATTAGCTAAGGACAGCTTTTATTAACACAAGTATTACAAAATTTTGTGATCTATATTTGTAAAACAAAAAAAACATTTAAGTAAAGAAGGCATTATCAACTATGTAGGATAATTTATCTAAAGAGACACTATACAATTAACTACCACTTCCATATCTATTTGTACTTCTCTTGTGAATTAAAAAGTAAAAATATTGGTGGTTCTGCTTCCACCCGAGCAAGGCGGTCATGGCCGAGCCGCTGGACTGAGAGAGCCAAGAGACCAGCCACCCTGAAGCTGGCCCAGGCTCACTTCGCCAGGGGCAAGTTTTCCTAGGCACAGGCACTGTACTTGGCATTCACTGGCCAGTGCACGAGTTGCAGGAGCAAATGCAGCCCCAAGAATTTGGCCATCACATATAACAACAGGGGACAAACCAAGTACTTCAGCATTGATTTTTATGAAGCCATGGACGACTACACATCTGCTGTAGAAACCCTGCCCAACTTTGAAGTTCCGTATCATAATAGGGAATTGATACACTTTAGGCTGGGATATTTTGACAAAGCTTTGGAAGATATCAAGAATGCACTAGACCTCAATCCTGAATTTCAAGCTGCTACTTTGAGCTTAAAACAGACTATTTTAGAAAAGAAGAAATGCTGAGAAAAGTTACTGAAACTTTTTCTCCTTTTCTTTTCTTTTTTTTTTTTTGGATTTTTGAGACAGTGTTTCTCTGTAGCTTCAGAGCCTATCCTGGAACTAGCTCTGGTAGACCAGGCTGGCCTCGAACTCACAAAAATTCACCTGCCTCTGCCTCCCGAGTGCTGGGATTAAAGGCATGTGCCACCACCGCCCGACGTTACTGAAACTTTTAATTTACTGAAGTTTTAACTCCTGATCCTTAAACCTCCAGTAAGATACATGTGGGACTATTTTGATTATATGTAAGAGACTGCATTTTAGAAGTTAAAGCAAAATAATTGTTTAATCAGAGTTATTCGTTTCAAGAGAGACCATGTTGGTTAGATCTCTTAATAGAGTAAATAAATAATATCAATGTACATTGTTATGGTAAAATATTTAAATCAAAAAAGTAAAAATATTAAAAGCAGTCTACCTTTTTTATCTTGGCCTTTTCAGCTTTTTCTTCTTTATCACATTTCTTGGCATTCCTATTAAGTTCTTTTGCAGCAAACTTCAAGCTAAATAAGTGTTCTGAAAATATAGGTTAAGGCCAGCTAGTCAAAAAGTCATTTTTCCAGCATAAAGACCCACAAACTTGATATTAAAAATCATCAAAAAATATAATCAGATAGTATGATAATTTAAGTTAACTAATCATAAAACTTCAGAAAGAGAACAAACTATTTCTTTTAAATTTCCTTTCATCCAAAATCAAGAAAATAAAATATTAATTACAAAGGAAAATAACAAAGAAACTGGGTAGACTGCATTTTAGGCGTTTAATGTCATCAGCAATAAAGCATGTCCATATTACTAACTTTCTGAAAGAGAGGAAGGCATCATCGCCATGGTACTGTTGTGATAAACAACCTCATTTGTTGTAACCTTTCAGGAGTCAAATTCATGAAGAGTAAGGAAAAACTAAATAAATGTAACAAATTGGAGGCTACAGAGACAAGGTGGTAGACTAAATGAAACTCTACTGGAAGGCTCTGAGAAACTTTACCAATATGAAGCCAAAGCAAGAATGTGGTGGCAGAACTAAAGCAGAGAGCATGGAGTAACACTGCTTACTAGCTTGCTCTGCTTGCCTTGCTTTCTTATTATCACCTAGGGCAATGTGCCCAGGGACAGCACAGCAGACAGTAGGCATCAATCAATCAAGAAAATGCCTCAGGGAGCTGCCTACAGGTGTTCTCTCTTCCCAGATGACTAGCTTGTGTCAAGTTGAACAATAAAGCCAACCACTACAAGTTAAACAGAAAACTGAAGAAAGCTGAGGAGAAGATGAGCTACCTGGAACACAGATCTGAATTACAGGGAGAGCAACAGAAGTAGACTAAGATGGTTTTATAGTATCTGGAGTATTTGGGCTAGAGGACTGGATCTGTGGGTAAAAGCACTGCTGGCTCTTCTAGACGACCCGAGTTCAATTCCTAACACTCATAAAGGGGCTCCAACTGCCTATAACTCCAGTTTCATGAGATTCAGTGTTCTTCTTTGGCTTCCACAGACTACAGCCATGTAGTGGGATACAGACACACATGCAGGTAAAACACTCCTACACACATAACAATAAATTAAGAGTAAAAAATTTAAAAATCTGGAATCCTAGGGGAAAAGATAATAACAGTGTGTGAATGATGATACATAAAATGAGAATATGTAACTATTCTGTAACTAATGAGCATAATAAGATAGTTAAGCAGCACAAAAATTACAAACAGGACAAATAAACATAACTCATATCTAGATGCATCATAGTAAACCTACAAATGTCAAAGACTAAAATAACTTTGAAAGAGCCACAGTCAAAGTTCAGACAATTTACAAATGATATAGCCAAACAGAGTAGAATTTCCAAGTAAAACTCCTAAGTAATTACCAAAGGATTTATGGTTGTACACTATTCAAAGTAGTAATAGTCTATCAAACTGCCATAAATACCAGTAGCAAACACTGAAGTATTGCTTCTAAAGAGAATCTGAGGCTTGGTTCTTATGTGTTACATCTTCAACAATTGATGAATTTTATGTGTATTTCTGTTTTAACAACTGTTTAATACATATTGTTGATTCATTAACAGCAAATTCTTAGCTAAAAATTATTAAGTAATTCTTTAGCTATAATTCATGTCTGAAAACTTACATAAAGTAATAATTTTATCTACAAGGTACACCACAGCCTTCTCATACTAAGAACACTAAATAGCACATCAGAATCTGTAGTTGTGGACTATTTTATATAGTGGAATTATAAACATAAGGCAGAGAAATACAGAAAATATGGTATTAAACAGAAAGCAGAAGATACTCATTTACAGTAGAGGCAGTCATTCTCTTTCCTAAGTGGGAAATAGGAACATTGGATGAGTCCAATGTTTACTAATCTAGGCAAGTTCTGCAATAAAACATCATTTGTGCTAGTTTTCTATAAGTTTTACCATGTATGCAAATTTGCAAATACAGAATATTTCAAAAATAATAAACTTAGCTTCTCAAAAAACTAAACTAGATCTAACAAAAGGCTTAATGAGCACAGAATTTTATCCAGGAAATGCTGTTTACATTAGAGAATCACGATGTTCAATTTTAAGATTGAAAATGCTGAACACAAGCAGAGGAAAATATCTAAGACAAAGAAAAAGAGGAGTTGAGTATGTTAAAACATTCGTGCCATTCACAAGTAAATTGCCATTTAATTTAACATTAACTACACATGTTAAAATTTCAAGAGTACCACTAAAAAATAGTATGTAACTTCCAAAGTAATAAAGGAAAAAAATCATGTGAACCATTTACAGACTCAAAAGAAAGCAACAAAAGAGTAACAAATCTAGAGATAAAAGGGTCAAACAGAAATTATACATTAAGTAGAAACTTCCTTCAAATGTGGGCTGGCCAAATAGCCCAGTGGGAAAAGTGTTTGCTTAACAGGCCTGATGACCTGAGTTTTATCCCCAGATCCCATATAAAAAAGGAGTTCCATTCCCAGAACATACCTTAAAAAGCTTCATGGGGTGATATGCATGCATCTGTAATCTCACAACTCTTACTGAGAAACAGGAAGCGAAGACTAGAGAATTGCCCAGAAGTTCTTGGGCAGCTAGGCAGGAATACACAGTGCAGCAGAAACATTAAGAAAGACTCTGTCTGCATGAGGTAGAAGAGAACTGAGTCCCAAAGGCTGACCTGGACATGTGTACTGCAGTACACACAAATGAGTGAAAATAAACAAAACTCAATAAAAAAGAAGCATTCAAAGTATCATAATGGATTAAAAAAATAACGAACCAAATTATATATACAGGGCTTTAAAATGCAAAAACATTGAATGATAAGATGGCAAAACACAGAAAAAATAATCAAACAATATTCTAAAATAAGAAGCCACAAGTTTATTAGTATCAATTAAAACAACACAAAAAGTCAGTAAAGTATTTGAAATTAAGAAAGAGGGCTATAATCACAAGCTGAGCTAATAATCAAAGCTATAGAAAACACACCTATAGCATAACTGCAAACTGTGTGTGTGCTCTCAAACTCACAAACTGAAAAACCCTGTACAAGATTAACAAAACTCAACTAACAAGACAAAGTGGGGACATAGAAGTTGTGAAAGACGCCAATTAAAAACTAGGTTTAAGAGGCTAAAGAGATGGCTCACTGTTTAACTGAACTGTCTGCTCTTCCAGAGGAACTAGGTTAAATTCCCAGCATCCACACGGAGGGTCAAAACCATTTTCATAAATGTTGATAACTGTTGTTATCAATAGTTCTAGGGGATCTGATGTCCCATTCTGGTTTCTGAAGGCACTGCACGTATTTGGTGCACGGACATAATACAGGCAAAATATACATACACATAAAATAAAATGAAAAAAAAGCAATCATAGCTTGTTAAATATAACAAGCCAGATTAAGATGAATATTACATATTTTATGTTCTGTGGACTATCTCTCTCTCTTTCTACACATAGACATGCCTACACATGTATACATATAGTACATGAGAGTCAGAAGGGAACTAAAAAGGAGAATGAAAAAGCAATGGGAAACAGGTAAACATTGTGTATTTTCACTCAGGTGATAGAGACCCACATTGGAGCGCTGGACTGAGCTCCCAAGGTCCAGATGAAGAGCAGGAGGGAGAACATGAGCAAGGAAGTCAGGACCGCAAAGGGTGCGTCCACCCACTGAGATGGTGGGGCTGATCGAATGGGAGCTCACCCAGGCCAGCTGGACTGGACTGATGAAGCATGTGATCAAAATGAACTCTCTGAGTGTGGCTGACAATGAGGGCTGACTGAGAAGCCAATGATAATGGCACTGAATTTTGATTCTACTGCATGTACTGGCTTTTTGGGAGCTTAGTCTGTTTGGATGCTCACCTTCCTAGACCTGGAAGGAGCGGGGAGGGCCTTGGACTTCCCACAGGGCAGGGCACCCTGACTGCTCTTAGGACTGGAGAGGGAGGGGGAGTAGGGGGAAGTGGGAGAGAAATGGGAGGAGGTGGAAATTTCAAATAAATAAATAAATTAATTAATTAAAAACAGTCTTTTCTCATCTTACATGCCAATCCCAGTTCCCACTCCCTCCCCTCCTCCTACACCCTCTACCTTATTCCTCTTTACCCCCAATACACTCCTCAGAAAGAGTAAGGCTTCTCATGGGAAGTCACCAAATACGGTATATTACTTTGAGGCAGAACCAAGGTCCCCCCCCCAACTATATCTAGGCTGAGCAATACGACTCTTGGGCATATACCCAAAGTATGCTCAATCATACCACAAGGATATCTGCTCAACTATGTTCATAGCAGCTTTATTCATAGCCAGAAACTGGAAATAACCTAGATGCCCCTCAACTGAAGAATGGATAAAGAAAATGTGGTCCATTTACACAACAGAGTACAATGCAGCAGTAAAAAATGACATCTTGAAATTTGCAGGCAAATGGATGAATCCAGAAAAAAAAAAAAAACATATTGAAGGGGGAACCCAGACCCAGAAAGGCAAGCACTATAAGGACTCACTCATAAGTAAATAAGAGATGTCATTCGGTTTTAACTGTATAAAAATAACACGTGAAAACAGAAGGACTATTCAGGGGAAGAAAGGAAGGTAGCAGGAGGAGGAAGAAGAAGAGAGGCTAATGGAAAAGCATATGAATAATATATAATTATATATATGTGTGTGTGTGTGTGTGTGCATTGATATGATAGAATGAAATGCGTTATTTTGCAGACCAACCAAATAAAAAACTTGAAAGAAAAAAAGACATGGAGAAAATCTAATAACCTTGCCCCAATAGTTTGAGAACACATGCTTCAAGCATATTAGATATAGAAAACTTATTCATTGGCCCTAAACAAAACCTGAAATAAATACCAAAAAAATCTGTCATCTGAACATAACTTAGTAGTTAATATATTTGATTTCTTTATGCCTTTTTGTATGAACCTAAAGCTAAAATAAAAATTTAAGAACTTTTGTTTGAAATCTTAAAAATTTATTTATATATAACAAAAAAGAAAAAAAATGTCTTCTGTAGTATTGAATAACAACGAATGACTGAATTGTGACTTATGAAATATAGTTAATTGGGATTCTCTGACACAAAAAAGACTGAAAATTAATGATGTAAACATTTACAATGTAAAATCAGAATAAGATAAAATAGGCTCCTAAAGACCACAAGAGAGAAAAAACACACATTAAGAGGGGAAAACAAAACACAATAACCAAGATGATGAAAAAGTCCAAAACTGAGATCCTTGTAAAATCTGACATTTTTTGCTGTGTAGTAACTAGTCAAGCAAAAACAGGAGGCATAAATAGAATAAGGAAAGAGATATAACTATAGTTAAAGATACTTTAAAATAATACATTAGGGCATTAAGCCAACACATTTGGAAGCTGTTTGTAAAATACTTGAAAGTGGATAATACTACATCAATGAAAGAAATGAACTAAAAAAAGTCTCAATAATTCAGAATTTCTGATGCAACACTTTAAAATATTTTCACATTTAAATAAGAAACATCATAATAACAGAGGTGATGGCATGTATTATTGGTAGAGTTTACAAATTTTTAAGAAAATGGCAATTCTTACCATGCACAAACTTCTCAAAGAACTAGCAAAAGGAAAGAACACTTTTGAACCTTGAAACCAGACTTTAATTAAAGACCGGAGTCACTCATCAGCAAAGATTCAAAAATATTAAACACAATATTGGCAATCATTATAGTTGCGCAATATATTATAGATGCTTCATAATTGTGATGAGTTTACCTTAAGAATCCAAAGACAGTTTAACATTTAACATTTATAATATAATAAAATATATTATAATTTTTGCCAGTTTACACAGAATATATGTTCAAAAAATGATCATGGTATTTCTTGTAATGAAAGGGAAGCTAATCTCAAGGCCCATCACTAAAAAGTAAATAAGTAAATTGTGATAAAATAATACACTGGAAAACTACATAAGAATGAAAATCTTTTTAAATATATTGATGAATCATAACCAATATTTTAAAAAATAGCAATGATACTGCTTTTGAAAACATGAAATATATCAATATACTTTAAGAGTATACATGTATGATGTAATATATAAAGAAATGACCTGAAATCATTAATGTTAACTTTTAGATAGTGGCATCTGCAGTAAAAGAAAAGAGGAATTTAACTGAAGTTTTACAGTATCTTAGGCCAAATAGAAGGCTCTCAGGAACATTTTACTCTTTTTCTTAACTTAAAAGGGAAGGATTAACGCTACACGATTTAGAAAAGCAATTTATAATAAAAAGTTACTGCTTGTTTGGCATAGAGTACGCATTCAGGAAGTTATATTATCATTTACTAAATCACCAATTTTGATAAAGAAATTTATTTAGAAAGTATATCAAAAGTTCAAGTTAGTCTTTAGAGCATTATATAAAACTAGTATGCGTTATTACACTGCTTTTCTGCATTATAGCTTTTCAAAACTCATTTGGATTCCAAGAACTCATTGTAAACAAAGAAGTCTTAGTTTAAAATAGCATTCATCTCCTTACTATCGAAAATCTGTGACAGTTCACTATAAGCTGATAGTAAGAGCTCTAAATACAGTAGTTCGGAAGCTATTTTATTACAAATGCCACCAACTAGATTCTACGATTCTTGATGAACAGAAGTAGAGATTGAAAAAAATGCAGGTGAGAGGTAAAAAACAAGAGCTTCCAGGAGAGTGCTGGGCTCTCGTGAGAGATGGCTCAGTTATGGTTAGCATTTGCCAGTCCTGCAGAGGATCAGAGTTTCCCAGTACCCATGCCAGGTAAGTCAAAATCATCTCTAGCTACAGCTCTGACAGGATCTGACACTCCTTTGGCCCCTGCATTCATGTGCTCATACCCAGACATGCACATCAAAATAATTAGAAATGAATCTTTATTTAGGTGTTCCACTAATAGCTGTCCTAGCATAAAAACAGTGGTACCAATATCACAGGCCATTTATTTGATAAGTGGCATTATCCTTTTACCTTTCTTGCATTTTAAGCACCTTGAGTACTGCTGTATGTGTTTTAGGAAGGTAATTTGGAATCAAAGAATCAGGTGAGGTCATCTGAACTAAAAGCAACTGTAGAGATAATTTTACTAATTTCAAAACATAAACTTAGAGCTGGATAAGCATGGAGTACCTAATGAATATAGAAACAGAGAGGAACTCAAAAGCAGCTTATCTCTTAGGTCACACATTGTATTGTAACAATTGTTCAAATTGCCCTTTAAATGATATGGAAAGGAAGACCCAAAATAACGTTTAATACTTCTTGTAAAAGGCAGCATTCTGCTGATCCCACAAGCCATAAATTACATACGTATTGGCAAGGAACCAATTTAATGATACTGTAAACACTGGAACTAATTCCAGTAAAGAGAGGATGCCTCCCACTGACCCTTCAGAAAGGTTGACTTAACTGATTAGAGTTTCCTTGACTGTGGAGAGCTTGGAATTTTGCAGGTCCAGGCCCTACTTTACAATTTCTCTTGGGCTATCTTTAGCCCCCTTAACAGCCATTCCTTGGCCACCTTGCTAACCTAACAACCTGTGACTAACAGATAAAACCTTCTGAAATGTATTAACAGATCAGCAGCTTCCACCAAGCAAAAGGCTTAGTGTTCTCAGATATATCTGAGGCTGGGATTTTCCCACTTTGTTGTGACCCATCTAGCTGATGTCTCCACTGATATGTTAGGAAAGAGCCTCGAATTACAACTTTATTCTATTACTCTCAAAATGCATTAAACTAGCACCACATTGGAACATGAAGTTTGGGGAATACTGAACCTATGTCCTTAGGCCATGATTACTCATATTTAATTCATATTTAACTACGCCGTCCCTTTCAAGTGAGAGTGGCTATTTATGTTGACAGTACCACGATAAAAACACATCATAGTGTATTTTTATCAAGTCCGGCAAGTCTGGCACTAGTATGTAACTCATTCTGTTTTAGGATTTAAAGTGATTCATAAGGTCTGCAATGACTAACAGCTATTTTTAAGGAGCTAGCTATTTTTGTGTACACACAGCCCCGGGTGATAGCTGTCCAGAATTCCCTTTCTGAACTCAGAGTAAGTCCAGTACTTATCATCAACATCATTGGTTCATAACCTCCTTCAAGTTAGAATACCTAGAAAAAAATCATGGCTACAGACAGTATCCCTAGGCAAAAAAAGGCACATAGTAATATTCAAAACTGTGCACACAATTTTAAAGCATTTAGTAACTCCACACGTCATCATTCATCTGATTTAGGAGTTACTTTGCATTAGTATTTGTGTTCATATATGTGTGACCTCTGGCCCTCTGATCAAAAGCTGCTAAGAGATGGAAGTAGTATGCATGTTTACTCACATGTATCCACTATATAGGTATATGGTTTAGCCAACTAGCTCCGATTCTTTCAAAATTTCTAGGAAAAGAATTAACAATTTTAAGGTGGTCAAATAACTCATACATCAGTGTTTGTTCAAAAATACAATTTGATAGGCACTACCATTTCCTTTTCCTAGGGTTGAAAGGTCAGTCAATATGCTTTCCGAATGAGTCAAGTGGGTGACAGAGGATGGATGCCACGCCTTAACTCAGTCTTTTCCCCTTCGGACCCGGGGGAAAGAAAACTTATCTTCTGACTCATAACTCAGAGCCCTCCACTTTACGGTATTATTAAACGTACACTACGTTCATTACTTTTTCTAAAGTACAGACAAAACTGGACTTTTCTTAATCATTTATTCTTTTCAATGAAATAACCTATCTGTATCCTTCCTCAAAGGATAACATTTTAATTTTCGACATATTTTGGCTAGTGCTACACAAGTTATGTTAGCAAAATTTTATGTGTGACATAAAATTTAATTCACCAAAAACTTTGCTTGTATGTCAGGCTTATAAACTAATGAAGCCAAAACACCTTCTAAAATGAGCTACTGAAGAGTTAGCTACATTTTATCTTCTTGCCAGTTGCCCTGGAAAAAAAAAAAAGGCCTGGAAAAAAAAGCCAATTATTCTACTTTCTCTAATGCCAACTTCTGGAAGAAGTAAGAATTACAGCAACATGGAGTTGTTGTGATGGAATTTTAGTAGTGAAAAAACATTCATACTCATGACGTCACCAGGCAGCTTTATTCTTAGCCCCTAAGTGTCCACACAGGTATTGCTGATGAGATTTCAAGGCTTCAGGAATGACCTCAGTTTCCTCAAGTGTTAAATTAGCATGCAGCAGGTTCAGAAAGCAATCAAGAGTTAGTGCGGAGGGCTCCTGGCAATTGCTCAACCTTATCACCTCAGTCACCTGCAGTCGGAAAAGGGCAGCTCGCCAGAAGCTATTCGTCCACGCACTGCACTCAAACCCAACATCTCGGCCTCGCAGCAAGCATAGGCAAACTCCAGCCGCCTCCCCTCTGTTCTGGCACCATTCCCTGTCAATTTCAAAGATGACAAAATTCACTGATAAGGCAGGTGACAGAAGTGCTCAACAAGAAGCGGGACGGGCTCAGTTATCTCCATCTGTCTACAGGCTTCCCTGACCCTCCCCACATTCTAGGATGGCGGAGGCTGCAGCGAGGAGGGGGGGAAAAAAGTCAAACCCCGCAGCTCCCGGTCCGCGCTCGAGCACCCGCGTGCCACCCATGGACCAAAAGGTCAAACCCCTGGGCGTGTCCACCGCCCCTGTCTTCGCCCTTCCCCGGCCCCCAAGGCCCCGTAGCACCCCGACGCTTGGAAAGGATACTCTCCATGTTCGACATGATCTCACGAGTTCGCAGGGCTCGGAGGGGGGGAGGGGGCTCTACCACTGGGGACAGGGACGGGGCCGCCGGCGGGTCGCGAGGGCGCGCAGAGGCAGGCGCTGCTCCCGGCTTCTGGGGTTCCGAGCCCACTTCCTGTTTCGGTTCGGGAAGCCGTGGTGGGTGGAGTCCCGCGAGCCACAGAGGCGGGTCTGGGACGACGCCAAAATGGCTGCAGTAAGTCGCCTTGGTTAGGACGGGCTCCGTCGCTTGGGGGCGGTGGAGATCCGAGAGCCGCGGCCGCCGAGGTCCCTCCCCCTCTGCTGCTTCACGTGCGCTCAGGATAACTCTGCGCTCAACCTGGTTCGGCATCCCACCAAGCTTCTAGTTCTTTCTTTTGTCAACCGGGACTCCGCTTACCGTCCCGCCCCACGTCGACCCTCAGATTTCACACTGTCCTTGGCGTCCCCCATCCCTTTTTCTCAGAACTTAAGTCTTAAAGGATGAAGACAAAGGTATAGGACTTTTAAAGTACTTTTTAAAAAAATCCTAACAGTGTAAAATAGCGGCTTGAGGGATTAGTGCGGCTGGTAATGTTGAGGTTTTCTAAAGGCTCTGAGCCTTCGAGTTTGAGGCTAGAAGGGGAAGGGGGAAAGTGAGGCTCCGCTTACAAGGTAATGTTGCTACGAAATACCTTTTCATACTAGGTGGGTTATTTTATTTTTCTTTAGAATAGATGATGTGTGATGTAAAATTAATGTAAAATCTTTATAATGGGTGGGAGTGGGTTATTATAAGCAGTAGATAATGCTTGGCGTTTTTTACATGCAACTTAGGAAAATGTCCAAAGATGAATGTATTCGATGTTCTCTCTGGACTTAGGAAAAGAGGGAATCGTAAGCATTATTGTGACGTTTCAATTTCATTATGATAGAAACTACATGTACTAGGATATAACTCTGAAAGTTGATATAATTATCGTAATTGATGAGTTTCAGAAGTTTGTCATTTACTGCATCTTTAAATTCAACCTGTGGAAATGTGTGCAGTGATATACACTTTTTATCCTTAGGATTATTTCTTTTTAAAAAAAGCTAGCTCTAACAGGGAATATTTTATTGTTTTGTACTGATGGTAGTTGGTCATAAGTTTCAGGCTGTCTTCTAACTAGAAACTGAACTGTCGGTGCTTCTTTAAAGGAAAAAAGGGGGGAAAAAATCCTTTCTCAAGACATGGCTCTGAGGAAGTGCAATCTAGAAATCATTTCAATAGACGGAACAGTGTAAAGATTATTTTTAGTTTTATGTCTCACTGTATAGTTGAAAAACAAAACTTAGGTTGTAAAAAGTAAAACTTTGGAAGTTTCATCAGTTTTCCGTGTGAGTTCCACAAATGTATTCACTGCTGAAAACTAAGTTTGGGGATAAAGGTAAATGCATGTTTTAAAAGATTTTTGCCTTAGCACTTACTATTTTTAACATCATTCTGTCAGTAAAACATTAGGACAATCTGCCAGAACTTAAACACGTCTAGGCTTTAAAAACTGTGAGGTTGTTAGAGTTACATGTACATAATGTATAAAAATAAATATTAAATCTTAATTTTTTTCAAGTTATAGAATTTCCCAAGAGGCATCTTCTTGGAATAAGACCATTTTTAAAATAAGTTACTTGTTTAAAGAGAGTATTTGCCCTTGCTGTCCGTCTTAAGTAAAAAAAAAAAAAAAAACCCTGTTGTATAGCCTGCACTAAACTTAATAGTTTTTTTTATTGTTTAATGAGGTCTTTAATGTTTTGAATCCCAAGGTTATCCTCATACTTTCCTTGAATATCTGAGTTTTTAAAGTGAGCTTTACGAAAAAATTAATTTAGCTAGAAAATTTAAACTGCTTAAACTCTGTGTGTGTGTGTGTGTGTGTTTCGTTAGAATGGCTCTGTGGAGAGAAGTGGCTCCCTGTTAAGATTACAAAGCAGATTAGAAAAGTACACAAAACAGACTACAGCTTGAATTATGTAGTGAGTGTTTGCTACATTTAAACAGTATTTCTAAAATATATGCGCCACAGTTTTCTGTGTATGTCATACAAAGTAATCCATTTGTAACCTGTCACCCAATTTCAGGAAATAAGCCTATTTTCTCTGAATTCACCTGTGTTCACTTAGCAACACTTGCCTAACTCCAGGCCTCTTCGCAGAAGCAGCCTCTTGTTTGAGTTCATGTATAATCTCCCCACTTTTAAAAACTACTTTCGCTGCAGTGTTTGCATTTCGAATCAATATATTAGAGTAGCCAGCTTTTGAATTGTCATATATAAATGAAATCATACTGCTTTGTGCTCCTGTCCTGCTTTTGTAGCTCATCATATAGTTGCTAAACTGTGTTAAAATGTACAGTGGTGACCGATTGTGCAGCTCTAAAGTATTCCAGTGTATGAATTAATCATTAATTTATCCATTTTCCTAATGATAGTAATTTGGATTCTTTCTAGATTGATGTAACCTCTAGAAATATATGTGTTTAACACATATTTTGGTGAAGAGTAACTTTCAAAATGCCCTGTGATATTTGTAAAAAAAAATTTGTAAACTTAGGCAAATTTATTTATTCATTTTTATTATAATCATGTTTCCTTTTTGTTTTGAATAATCTTGTTTTTTGCCTATGCCTACTACCTTGTCTCAAACCCTACTACCTTGTCTCATTAAATAGATTGCTTCCTTTTTACTATGGTTCTCCATAGCTTCTTTTGGGGACAAGCTAACTAGGAAGATTTAAATACAGCAGTCTAAGTCCCATGTGGACCAGTAAAATATGATTATTTTCATCTGCTTGTATCGGAAGGATGAACTGTAATTTCTATGGCTTTCTGCAGGAATGATGAAGCTCTAAAGAAAGAGTGAATGCCTTGTCTTAAGATGATTCCGTAGCTCTTACATGTGTTAAAACTTGGCCTAAACAAAGCTAATGTGGGAAATTACAATAATTCCTCAGGAAATTGAGTGCTTTTCATGATTAATCATGGTTAGTTCTATAATTGAGTTAGTTACATGAATAAGCATTTTAAATGATAATATTTATAAAATGATCTTAACATAACCACTAAAATTTCAATATTTGATGTGACTGCTTTGTGACAATGGCTTTTGTGAGTTTTTAGCTAATGATTTTGAAGTGACTAGAAAGTGTAATGGTTCATTACAGCTAAGCACCATTGAACTGGAAGGAAAGGAATGCTCCAGGAATCAGAATAGTGTAGTTTTATACAATATTTTTCAGATTTTCCTGTCCTGTTAAAGTTGCAGGTCTTTCCAGATGCTCTCTAGGGAAAAAAGTTCAGTTGTAGAAATGCTGGGGAAGTTTAAACAGAGAAGTTTTTCTGTTCAGAACAAAAAACCTTTTTGTTATGCCATTTCAGATCTCATTTGCAAATTGTAGCAGCAAAAAATCTATTGAAGTAAGTGATGAAAGAGATTAGAGCTCCTGAAGAGATAAAGCTCTATTTGCGCTAGCAAATAGAAGACCAGATGAAAACATAGTTTAAACACAAGCAATATGGTCAGGTGTGGCGTCACAGACAGGCCTAGAAACCTAGCGCTCAGGAGTCAGAGGCAAGAGAATTGCTGAAAGGTTGAGGTCAGCCTGGTCTACATAGTAAGGTCTAGGTTAGCCAGGGCGACATAGCAAGATGATTTCAAAAAATTATTCTCCCCAAATAAATAAACACTAACACTAACAAAACTAATACAAACAAAAGGAATAGGTCTGATTGATTGACATAGGTGACCTAGAAATTATTCAGTTTATGATTAGAAAATGATAAATGAATTTATGAGATGAGATATATAAAGAGATAAAAATAAAGGTAGGCGTGTTGGTGCAAGTCTGTAGTCCCAGCACTCAGGAGGCAGAGGCAGGCAGATCTCTGTGAGTTTGAGGCCAGCCTTGTCTACAAAGGAGTTCCAGGATAGCCAGGGCTCTTATACAGAGAAACCTGTCTCAATAACATAAGTAAATAAACAATATGTAGATATTTATTCTCTAGGTTTCATTCTTATTTAAATAATAAAGGGTGATATTTGATGATTACAGTGTCTACATATCATCAGAAGAATATTTTTCAGTAACCTCTGATTTTCACAGAGCAATCAAGACTTAAAATTTTCCCTCTGTCAGGAAACCTTTTGAATACTTGAATAATCAAAATAGAATTACACTTTATCACTAAAAGATGTGATTGATTCTTAAAAGATGGTATGATAAGAAAGAACAAAGCATTTGCTGTCATTAGAGATACTTTATACTTGAGAATGGTTCCCCATTAATTTTAGAAATTTTAGAAATGGCATGATTGACAAATTGTTTATTATAGATATAAATATGCTAAGAAACCCATTATTAAATAAACCCTTTTCTTTATTATTTTATCATGCAGGCACTGTTTGAAGAAAATTGTTAAGTGGAGAAGTAAAAAGATTTTTTGGAGAAATGCAAATGAAGACAAAGTAAGAAAAGATAGTTCTTAAAAAGCTGTCACATATTCTTACATTCTATTTTACTGGCCACTGAACCTGCACATTTACCTATAGATAATGAATTTCTTTACTACTTTGTTATGACCATACAACTCTTCACTCTATACTGATTTTCAAGTCAGAACTCCGTCAAAGTCATTAATATGGCTCTTATTAGTTTATCTAGTAAAATTAGAGAAACACCTAAAATTGTTTTAAAAATTTGAGTATTCTGTATTTTATTGCATTAAATAATTTTGGAATATATATTATATTTGATAATTATCCAGTGGTTTGGGGATATTATTCTACAGTGTGATCACAATTTTTTCCCTGTCCAAAGATTTCTCATATGTTGCTATAGGCATTTGAGGTGGGACAGTTCTTTTGGAAATGGGGCTGTCATATGAAGCATAGAATGCTCAGTATCATTTCTGTCCTCAGTCTGCAAACCAGTAACCCCCTCCAAGTTATGATATAGCCAAATATGTCTTGAGATATCACCAAATATTCTCCCTGGGACAAAAATCAGTCCTGGTTAAGAGTGACTTAATCTCACTTTAGAACTTTTTAACATTGCCTCTATATTAAGCCATCAAGATTGACAACAGTACTAGAAACAAAAGTAAATTTTTATCCTGGTTTTTCTCAGACATACCACAGTAAAAGCAAAGCAAGCAATATGTCCAACTTTTGAAATTATATATATATATATATATATATATATATGTATATACACACACACACACACAACCACATATACATACATACAAAGTTGGTAAAATTAGAGTCCAAGCAAGTGTGTTTGTGTGTGTGTCTGGGTGTGCATGCAGCTGTGTGTGAATGTGTACTATGGAGACTCAAATTTGGGCTCAGGTTTCTTCCTTATCACTATTTATTGAAGCAGAATTTCTTGCTAAGCCAGTGGTGCTCACGAATCTCTGCTAGTCTAGCTAGTTAGCTTTCCCCACAGATGTTCTGTCTTTGTTTACTGTTTGCTAGGATTACAGGTAGCTACCGTGTCTGTCCAGTTCTTAGTTGGATTCTGGGGATCCAATTCTAGTCCCCATGCTTGCAGAGCAAGCATATTATCCATAGAGCCATCTCCCCAAACTAGGAAGGAGATTTTGAAGTCCTCCTAACTTCTGTTCCTTTTGTAGGCTGAGGAAAGAACAAGACATTTGGAGTCATTAATTCAGAACTAGGTTTCACTTAAATACATAGTTAATCATCTTAAACAGTTTATTTAACTGGTACAGATTTTGTTTGCTGAAGTATGGAAAATTTTGATTTTGATAGTTTTATTTTTAGGAGTAGATGCTATAGTATTAGAATTATTAAATTAGAAAATCTGAGAAATCATAATAATCTTTGTAGCTCCTAATCTAAAAGTTATCCCTCATTAGTAATGGTACTTGTAAATAAAAGTAAAAGATATATGATCTAAACACATGGTGCATTAGTACTTAGTACTTAGAAAGTACCTAGAGAAGGAAGGCCAGTTAAACAAGTACTATAAGGGCATTAATTAGATATAATAGACTATTAATAATATATATGGAAATAATGTATATAAATTTAATGAATTAAGGTGAATAAAAATTAGTAAGCCTTATAGATCATATTTGAATTTATATTCATGCAATCTCTACAAATAAGAGTACATAGTCCATTTTATAGCATATTATTTCTGTATACAAAAGTATATATTTACCATGTGCAAATTCCTGTGAGGCCAAATGGTATTGGATTCCCCTGAACTGAAATTGCAGGAGATTGTGAGCCACTTGATTGCTCTGGGTCAATGGTCCTGTACTTTTTGTCACTTGTATTTTAATAAATAACAGGTTGGCCTATTAGCTCAGGTTTCTTATTAACTAATTTCTACATCTTAACCCATAATTCTTGTCTGTGGTAGCCATGTGGCTTGGTACCTTTATCGGTGAGACATTCTCATCTTGCTTCCTCTGCATCTGGATGAAGGCTGCAGACTGAGGCTTTCCTCTTCTCAGTATTCTCCTGTTCTCCTTGCCCTGCCTCTACATCCTGCCTGGTCACTCTGCCTCTACTTCCTGCCTGGCTACTGGCCAATCAGCATTTTATTAAAATGCAAGTGACAAACCTTTACAAAGTACAAGACCATTGTCCCATAGCATTTGATGTGTGTTCTGAAAACCAAAATGACGTTCTCTTCAATGGGAGCAGTAAATGATTTTAATTGCCGAGCCATCTCTCCAGTCTGGAAAAACTTTTAAATATAGAAAATATAAAGAATTATTTGTAAGCCATTTTAATTCTTTCCAAGAGATTAAACATTTTTTATTTCATTTACTTTCTTTTAAAAAATGAAGCACCATAATGAGGTTAAAATTTTGTTTGACTGCATTCATGAATATTTTAGCTCTCCCTCCTGCAACAGCTTTTTGCATAAAGTGTTGTATATTATTTTATTTATACAAGCATGTATTTTGAAATAATATACTTTGTGATTTAAAACATATGGATATTTTACTTGAATGTCTAGTTTTCAAACCATTTTTTAAAATTATTTTGAGATCTACTTATATAATTTATAAACATTTATGTATAATCTACCCTAAATATTGAAATTTGTATTTATCTGTTTACCTTTTTGTGATCATGTAGCTTGCTTTCCTTTTTATCAGTTACAAGCACTGCTGCAGTAACTCACTGGGGCATGCCTCTCACTATGGATTTGTAAGACTTCTATGAAGTATATACTGGAATATTGAGACATAGGGTAAAAATAACTACTTTAAGGAAAATAAGACAAATACTGATTAATATGATAAAAGGTTTTCTTTTTTTTAAAAGTAATTTTATTAAATTATAAAAGTTTCCATTTCCGCCCCTCCTCCCACCACCCTCCCACTCCCCCCCACTCCCTCTCCTCCTCCCTCTCCAGTCCTAAGAGCAGTCAGGGTTTCCTGCCCTGTGGGAAGTTCAAGTTCTTCCCCCCTCTCTCCAGGTCCAGGAAGGTGAGTGTCCAAACAGACTGGATCCCCAAAATCCAGTATATGCAGAGGAAACAAGTCCCAGTGCCATTGTCAATGGCTTTTCAGAAAGACTCCGGGCCAGCCACATTCAGAGAATCTGGTTGGATTGCGTCCTCGTTCAGTCCCAGTCCAACTGGCCTTGGTAAACTCTCATTAGATTCGTCCCCTTGTATCAGTGGGTGATCGCATCCCTCACAGTCCTTATTTCCTATTTCATTTCAAGGTCCTTCTGCTCCTCATTTGGACCTTGGGGGGCTCAGTCCAGTGCTCCAATGTGGGTCTCCGTCTGTATCGCCATCCATCGTCGGATGAAGGTTCCCTCTGATCTTGCCTTCTTTGCTCACGTTCTTTCCTTCTGCTTCTCCTTTGGACCTAGGGAGTTAAGTCCAGTGTTCCGATGTGGGTCTCTGTCTCTATCTCCTTTGAGCCTATTATTCGTGATCCTAGAGAAGCTAAATAGACAAGATAAAAGGTTTTCTTGACTGAAAAATTAAGATTCAGGAAGTAGTTAACTTTACATTAACTTTATAGAAAAATCTGGCGTTCATTTCAAAATATTACCTCAGAAGTTATATATACCTGCTTATTTCAAGAAGACAAAAGTGAAATATTTTTCTACTGTGTCATTCTTACTGAATAACTTACGCATAAGAAACAGAGTGTATTGTTCACATAAACTATGAGGCTCATCTAGAATGGCTTTTCTGATCTGGTTCATTCAGAAAGAAAGATTTTCTCTAGGAAACATTAGTGTATTAGACAAAGGTTTGTAATGTGTAAGCTTATCAGGCCAATTGTCTATTTCATTTAAATAGCCCTGATAGAAAGAGTTTGTCATATTTTTTCATCTTCTTTAAATCGCACAATTTTCAAACCATATTGGTAGTTATCACAGGTTTACTGCAAGTTAATATTTCCATGTACACCATTATGTTCTATAATAGGTATAGGGGTAAAACATTAATGTTAAATATCATTGCCATAGTATTTAAATAAAAGACTTTCAATTAAAAGATAACTTGAATATAGGAATTTAGGAAAAAATGTAGAAGTATGAGAAGCCAAGCTATGGGTACTTCTTTTCAGAAATAGCGGCTATTTCTTTGAATAGTATTTATGTTTCCTATTGAAGTGATTTTGATATAATCATCTGTGCAATACAATGTCCCAAATTCTATACTTAGTCAACAGAGATTCACAGTCTTATTTAACAGGTGATTGTGTATTTATATTGCCTGTAAGCAAACAAAAATATGAGTTGATATGATAACTAAATTCAACTGTGTATTTTTAAAGCAAGTCCTTAATTAAAACTTAGTAAAAATTAGACAATTATATGAAAAAACAATAATCTTGGGTCCTAGGGATAGTTCAGTGGTATAATGCTTATCTAACCTGGAATTCATAACCTCTCAAATCCATCCCCAGCACTAGATGGAGGGAGAGGAAATGGGGAGAGGGATGGGGAGAAGAAAGAGAGGGAGGGAAGAAAGGGGGAAGGGAGACAATAATAGCCATGTGTTTTATCTCCTTTTCAGAATTCTTAGTGAAAAATTGTCCCGTGATTCAAGTCCATCTCACTGAAGTTTCGTTAACTGGAGGTAAGATATAAAGTTTAGTAAGACAAGTTTAAAAATTGCAGGTTATTTTACTTGTACAAGAACATATGCCATGCTAATATGAATTAAGTCTTTAATTTTAAAATGTTAACCTTCAGAAAAAGATGTACTTCCAGACAGTATAGAAAGATCATCTTAAGAAATCTGACAGTTGCATTAAGAAATGAATGTTCAACTTTGAGAAATAGCTGTAAAAATTATGAGCATGTATTTTGAAAAACAGTGAAATTTATTCAAGGTTGGTTTCTGTTGCTGTGATAAAAAAAATTACCAAGGTCTACTTGGAGAGGAAAGAGTTTATTTCATCTCAAACTTCCATGTCATGGAAGGAAGTCTGGCCAGGAACCAAAGCAGAGACCACAGCAGACTGCTTTAGTGATTTGCTTCCCGTGGCTTGCCAGGCTTGCTTTCTAATACTACCCAGAACCGCCTTCCAGGGGATAACACAACCCACAATGGTCTGAAACCTTCCACATCAGTCATTAAGAAAAATGTCCCCACAGCTTTGCCCACAGCCAAGCTGATGGAGGCAATTCCTCAATGGAGGTTCCCTGTTTCTAAGTGCACCTAGTTTGTGTCAAGTTGACAAAAACTAAAGCACACTATTCTTTTCTCCTTTCCTATGAGTCTAATTTTTCTGTATTATTATTATCATCTGCTATAATTATCATCTGCTCGATATACCTTTTAGGTACTTTAAAAGCCAACTAGACAAATGACAACTCAAGCTCAATGTATTTTCCATACTTTAAATCCAAATTGTGGTTTGTTGCAATTTTGAGGAGGAATACATTTAGCTTGACAGTTTAGTCAATGTTGTTACAGAGTGCACAGGAGGTTCAAACCAAGTACACGGTACTTTGAGGTTCAGATACTCCACATTTCTCTCATTTTTTTGCAATTTATTTTTTATAGAAATCACTTTATTTTAATGAACTCACAAACAAAAGTACCATACAGCTACATCAAGGTAACCCCTCAAAACATTTGCCTGTACCCACACTCACTGGATCAGTGAATTTCATTGTCTCTCTGTAGTCTGTGCAGAGGATAGCTGCAGCTATGGACTTTCTGTAGTCTGTGTGAAAAACAATTACCTTTACATTCTTTTATTTTCATGTGTTTTTTTGCCTATATTCAGTCTTTTCTCACCACTTAATATTAATTACCATTTTTGGTCCCCTTTTTAAATGATATACTATACACATATTTATGGCTGTTTACATATGTGCATATGTATCTATTATGGGCTAGGATATGTGTATGAAAAAGAAAGTGTTCTTTTTTTTCCCTGAGATTGGGCCACCTCAGAATTAGAATTGTACATATTTTCTATTATATATTGAGATCCTTTAAAACTTCTGATAATGTACTGTCTAGAAATTTGAAATCAAACATTGAGAATGCTTCAATCATTGTAACATCTTCTAAAAAGCAACATTAGTTATTACATATATTATATTTATACTTTAATGTGTACCCTTTCTCTTTAGTTAGTTTATTTTTGTCTTAAGGACGAAGTCATTTTGTTTTTCGTGTGCTTTTGAACGGTCAAACCAACATAATTCCTTACCAATAATCAAAACTTAATAGGATTTAATATTCATAGGGTATTAACATAGTTTAATTAGAGCTATCATAAATTAGGGCTATCTTTTTTATTCAGAGATTTGTCTTCATCTCATTTCATTTCATAACTGGAAAATAGTGTGTAAATACCCAAGAAATAAGAGATAAATATATTCAATCATTTTAAAAGTTCAATCTATTTTCAGTGGCTAATGAGGCCCTCTTGAATCATTTTACTGAAGTGAATGCATCCAGTTGAGGATTACTAGTGTAATATAGATAGCAAATTATTTTTAGATCAAAATTATTTTTTTTGTGTGTATATGTGTGCATATATGTGCTTGCCCATGCGTGAGGAAGTTGTGCTTGTGAATGTCAAAGAACAATTGTAGGCAATAATTATCTGTCTTCCTGTTGATAGAATTTAGGGCATCAGACTTGGCAGAAAATTTCTTTACCTATGGAACCGTCTCACTGGCCCAGATAGCAGATTCTTTCTATTTAAGATATAGTTTTGATAGCTCTTATGGGGTAGGCACAAATCTGCTTCCAACAAAATTAACAATATAAAATACGTTCATGAATTTTAGTTGTCTTTTCTAATAATGAAAAAAATATGAATTTGATGCTAGCAAAATTGTTTATAATTTCATGAAAATATAATTAAAAATGAGTTAATACTATGTTATTTGATTAATGAACCTATAATTTCCCAGTTAATACGTTTCTACTAGAATACTTTTCTGATCATTTGCTCTTTAAGAGCACCATACCCAGACACAAAAGAGACTTTGTGTAGTCAAAAATTTGTGTAGTCAAAAATTTCTCACTCTTTCATGTTCGTGCTATAGAAAGGAAGTTCTGTTTTTTATTGTTTTATCTGTATGAAGCGTTTTTACCTATAGAAATACAGGAAGGACATAAAAATTGTGTCATTTCTAAGTGGAATAAGGAAAACTATTTTGAAATTTACAGTCATAAGAAAATGAGATCACATACATTGGGGAATGCACAGATTTTTATTACACTCAGTACTTTACATAGATACCTTTTTCTGACTTACAGGTTCAATTTCATTTGTAGAAAAGTTTTCTGTATATATTCTTATTACTATCAAGAAAACTAAGGGATACCTGTGTTGAATCAAATTACTTGGGATATATTTCAGATTACTCTTGGTTTTTGGAGTATTTTTATATTTTGAGTCATTCATCTTAGTGATTAATAGTAATAGTTTTTGTAAAACATGTTAACTGTTAAAGCTTTATGGCATAAACAAAATTAATTTTAATTAATTTTGGATTTACCCTAAATTAGAACTAGAAACCAATTTTTAGTAAGTTATAGTAGTGTTTTTCTTAAGCTCCTGGAATGAAGAAGTCACTGGAATATTTCAGCTTGTTAGTTATTTGTGATATGGGAGAACAATGATGCACTGTATTTAATAGCAGTTTCAGAGATAATAGAAAACAGTTGCTCTGCTTCCCTTCACATTTTCGATAAAGGCTAACAAAGACCAAAGACTACCTTGTTTGGGACAGGCTGGGTGTCAGCAATTATAGAGAAAAAGAAGGACATTCTCTATATAGAAACATGTAATTTATAATTCACATTTTATGCAGTAGAAATAAATATGACTCAACACTGTATAGGGCTTAACACAGAAAAATATATTCAAGGTTTTGAATTCTCAATTTAACATATATTTTATATACATATTTATATAGTTTTATATTTTGTAATGTAATCTTTTATCTCATTTTAAAAAAAATATTAAATGTTATTTCCCCAAACAAGAGAGTTAATGTATGTATAGATGGCATAATTTGAAAGATCGGAGGAAGTACTTTGTGCTCTCCCTTTCTCACAAGAAAGTGTAGCATAAAGCACTAAGGACTTTGCCATGAACTTCAAAATGGACTTTCCCATCTAGAAAAGACAAGAACAATTTTTCTCTCTAGGAGATAAAATATAACTATGTATTAGTATCAGCAAACAAAGATCAAAATATAATTTTAGAATTAAATAAATATAAGTGTGTGTGTGTGTGTGTGTGTGTGTGTGTGTGGTGTAATGTGGGAAACGGAACCCAGGACTTTTTACATACTAGTCAAGTGGTCCAGTTCTAAGTCATGCACCTGATACATGTGAATTTTTTTTTTTGAGACTGGGTCTCACTGTTTAGCCCTGGATGGCCTGGAACTCACAGACACCTACCTGCCTGAATTTTATATCCTGACTCTGCCACCTGTGACTTTGGGAAAATCTGTTGTCTGAGCTATAAAATGACAGAAATACAACTATAAAATGACAGAAATACCCTTTCCATAAAGATCTCATAAGTATTAAATGAGATGATTTACTTAATATATTTAGCAGACTACATGAAAACAACTAATTTTAATAACTATTGGGAGTGACTGTTTTACATTTAAGAGCAGCAAAAATGGTAGTAGAATAATCATAATCGTAGTAAATTGTGGCTGCACTTTCTTGTGCCATAGCATGTAAACGTTTACTCAGCTTTTAGTTACTTTGATTGGTTTAAATCTCACTTGTGGCATTTAATAGATTTGTATTACATCCCAAAACAAGTTGAAATTCTTGTGTCACTAAACAGATTGCCACAGTGCTGACTGAGTGACATATGTATGTATATTTCTTCTGGAACTCATTATGCAAATTCATCAGAAATCCTTAATTTGCCTACAAGTCCAATAATTAAATGTTATTACTGAGAAAATAATGAAGTGTTTTATTTCCCTAGTTACCTTCACTCTAATATAGATCAGAACATCATTTATTGTATGAAATACAATTCGGATTATGTTGTTTTATGGAAGTATACTTAAAATTGGAAATCATTCCAAAAAAGTTTAAAAAATATGTTTTTTGCTATAATTTCTTGTAAGAATTTATGAAAGCTAATTGCTTTCTTTTTCTCTTTGCTTCTTTCTTCTTGGTTTTTGAGATAGAATGTCATTTCGAGGCCTACACTGGCCTCAAACTCCTTAGCTATCTAAATTCTGAAGTTATAGATGTGAGATACCACATCTACTTGTAACTGCTGTTTTGGTTCGATATGATTTGGTTTGTATTTTGAACATAGGGTCTTACTCTAACAAAGTCTTGCCTTATAATTACTTTGTATCTGAGGCTGGTCTTAAATTTACAGTTGTCCTCCTATCTCAGCCTCTCGGTGTTTATTAAAACAGTCATATAATCCATTTTATTTCTTTTGTTGTTGTTGTTGCTTTTCAAGACAGGGTTTCTCTGTAGCTTTTGGAGCCTATTCTAAAACTTACTCTGTAGACCAGGCTGGCCTGGAACTCAGAGATTCACCTGCCTCTGCCCCCCAAGTGCTGGGATGTAAGATGTGTGCCATCACCATCCGGCTTCTTTTCTATTTCTAG